ATATTAACAAAAAGATTACAGAGGGTCATCAAGAAGATCATATACCCTGAACAAGTTGGATTTCTCCCAACTCAAGGATTTCTCCCAACTCAAGGATGGTTCAACATACATAAATCAATAAATGTAATACACTATATTAACAAACAAAAACCATATGATCGCTTCCATAGATGCAGAAAAAGCATTCAACAAAATTCAGCATCCATTCTTGATTTTTAAAAAACCTGCATAAAATTGGAATAGATGGTCTTTATTTCAACTCAATAAAGGCTATTCATGAAAAACTAACAGCCAACATCATACTAGTCAAAAACTGAAAATCTTCACACTAAAATCAGGAACAAGGGCCAGGGATTTAGCTCAGCGGTTCGGTGGCCTGCCTTGCAAGCACAAGGACCTGAGTTTAATCCCTGGTACAAAAAATAAATAAATGAATGAATGAATGAATAAATAAATAAAATCAGGAACAAGATAAGGATGTACTATCACACATCCTGTTCAATATAGTTGTGGAAACATTAGCCACAGCAACTAGACAAGAGAAAGAAATAAAAGTAATAAAGACAAGAAAGGATGAAATTAAACTGTCATTACTTGCTGATGATATGATATTCTACCTAGAAGACCGGAAAACTCTGCCAAAAGACTTCTAGACTTAATTGACAGATTCAGTAGAGTAGCTGGATGCTCAAAAATCAATAGCCTTCTTGTACATGTCTGTTACTCATAACAAATCCCCTGTCTCTACTGGAAAATTTACTAGAAACATGTTACAAAATGTAACATTGACAGATCAATTTTCCTGCCTAAGACAATAACAGGGGAAAGATTGCATAGAATTACTTTAAAATAATATTTGTGAACTAAAAATGTAAACACAATCCCAGTAATGAATGTAACTGTACTGTGTGTCTAGAATGTACCAATAAACTCAATAAAAAGGAAAAAAATTTTAAAAGATAAAAAAAGATCCAAATTGTATAACTGACAATGTGAAATAGGAAGAAAAGGGCTAAAGGTGTAGGGGAAGTGGGGAGGGTAGGAGGAAAGAAATAAGGGAAAAGAAAAAATATGAGAAAAGGAAAAAATGGAAATAAAGTCTTTTTAAATAGGGGAGGTGGGGTAAAGGAATGGCAGGGGTACAGGGGAAAAATTAGAACCAAGATCTGTCATGTAAAGGCACAAGATCCCAATGATGAATATAACTGTACTGTATGCTTAAAAAGTACCAATAAACGATAAAAAAGAAAAGAAAAGAATATTTGTGTGCATTTGCATATATGTAAGGGATGTTCTATCTGTGACTATTTCTTCAAAGAATTGAAATATGCTTTTTGTTTCTGTTTTGACTTATTTCCATGAAAGATGACAACTTCTTGAGTAGATATTTATTTTCAGGTTTATGTGTTTACATTCTGTTCATAATTTTTCACATATTTTCTTTTTCAGCTTTATTAAAGCTTGTTTGATAAATAAAACTGAATATAGTTTATGTGTGCAAAATACTGTTTAGATAGATATGTACACATTGTGAAATAATCACCACCATCAAACTAATACTTCCCATATTTGTCCCACACATCACTCCACGTATGTACCTTTTGCGGGGGTAGGAATATTTAAAGTCTACACACTAATCAATTTTCAAGCATAAAATACAATGCTGTTAACAATGTTCCCACTGCTGTACATGACATCTCCAAAGATTCTCTCATACAACTGAAACATACACTTTGACCGATACCTTCACTTTTCCTCCTCTCCCAGCTCCTGGAAAGCACCATTATACACTCTTTTATGAATGTGACTATTCTAAATTTCATAGGTAACTGATACTATGCATTCTTGCTGTGCCTGATAATCTGTATTTTACTTGTATTTTTAAAAGCGTAGTCTATATACTCACAAAACATATTCCAATGTTAAAAAGGCAGGAATATCTGTCACTTATGACAACCTAGATGCCAACCAACACTACTGACTTCAAAAATAACACTGGGATTTTACTCTATTATTTAGAGGAAGCTATCTTGATGAGTACAGCTAGTAGTAGATTTTAAAAATGAAAATTATCTGAAGACATATGAAAAGTATCAACACAGTGAGGAATTTAAGAGCTCTGGTCCAGGGAAAGAAAGCCCTGGGAAGTGAGCTCAGCCTGTGGAGCCCCAAGCCTTCGTCTAGAAGCATCTGTGAATCCCAAAAGGATGGCTCAGAGGGCAGAGGCTGAGTAGAACAGTTCGCAGAACTGTGGATAAGAATTGGGAGAAGGTGCCTGCACAGGAAGAGAAACTATGATAGACATTAAGAGCTTCAGGCAGTTCCTCTAAAACTTTACCTCCTGAATCCCTACTGATGAACCTTTTAGAGATAGCTGCCCAAACTGCAGCCCAAATCCATTTATTTATCACAAAGTGTCCAAACTGCAGTTATACAAGAATCCTGAAGTTTTAGATCAGAAAAAATAATTCATACATTAATGTCTTTTAACTTAAAAGAAAAACCAAAAAAACATGTGTGCCATAGGTTCACCACCACTGCACTATACTTTAGGAATAAAATGAATCAAAAATAGAAAAAAAAAGAGTCATCCTCATAAATGATGAGATCCACGCATGAATGTTTGCATTTCCTGTATAAAGTCAACAGGAATTGCTTGTTTCCAACTTACAACACAGAAGAGGATGAAGGACAAGTAAATCAAAGGGAATATTCACAGTATTTACAATTTATGTCACAGGCTAAATTTCTGTATGCTATAAATTTAAATATATAACAGCCATAGCACAGAGGTATAATTGGAATATTGATATTAACATATTCTAAGATCATCAAATTAGCAGAAAGTGGTAAAATATTAATTTAAGATAGAATTTAATGTTTAGGGTCATGTGGGAGTTTATAGGATGCCCATGAACAGAACAGTAAAAGATCATGAAGTCAATAAGGTAGTATATGGAGAAATGGTATAATCAAAAATACTTGATCAAAAGTAGAAAGAAAACATAGGACAAAGGAAGAGGGAAGGAAAGGAGGGAAGCAACAGCAAGATGGCATATGTAAGGCCAAACATATCAGTAAACATATTAAAATGAAAACCTTAGTTAATTAAAAGACAAAATTGTCAAACTTAATAGAAAACAATTTTTCTATATTATGAACAAGACTGGTATCACACATGTAACTAAATAGGCACTTAGAAATTAAAAGGTGGAAGAAGATAAACTGTGAAACACTTAAAGAATCTTTCATGGCTACACTAGTTTCCAACACAATTACTGGAAACATTATTACAGAAAACCTGCATCAAAAGGAAGGTGTAACATTTCTAAACATTTATGAATATAATAGCATGTTTTCTTTTTTATTAATTAACTTTATTGGTATAATTTAAATATACATATCGATTACGTTCATCAAAGTGGGTTTGTACCTGTACATGATGTAGCTTTACCAAAAAAGGAAACATTTATACATTAAAATGTATAAAATTTCAATAACATAATTGATAAAAATGATCTATCTAACTGATATATTTTGGCTTCAACTTCTTGACCACAGAAAATATATATTCTTTCTAAGTGAACATTAAAAATTCATTTTGAAACTGATGTTTTTCCATAAATAAGAGACAAAGGTCAAGAAGCTGAAACTATAGAAAAAAGATTTTCTGACACAGTGGAATGAAGCTAAATCTGTGATTTAATATGTAACTAGAAAATTCCTCCATCAATTCAGGATAATAATTCTAAATAACTAAACTGTCAGAAAATTATCATTAGGGTGAAGGGAGGGCAGGGGTATGGGGAAAAAATAAGAACCAAGACATATCATGTAAAGTACAAGATCCCAATGATAAATGTAACTGCATTTTTTGCTTTAAATGTACCAGTAAACTTAATGGGGAAAAAAGGAAATTATCATTAAAAATTCATTTAATACAGAAAGGCTATGCAACATTTAAGCTTTCTGATATACAGCTAAAATTATTGGTGAAATTAGAACACTGAACACAAGGAAACTAGAAATAAGAAAATAATAAGCAAAATAATATAATCATAGAAAATCCAAACAGCCAATCATACAAAACTGATAATCCCTTATAAGATGACAGGGGAAAAGCATAAAAAGTATAGTCTAAATGTTCATTGTCAGATAAAAAATTTGTAACTATAAATTCTATAAGCATTCACACATTTAAAAGAAGATAGAAACAAAAGATTGACAAGAAGTTGGGCAATTTGGATAATTTCTACATGATATTTGAAAAACACAACTTACCAAGTTGACAAAATAATCTGAAACATGCTATCAATAAAGTTAGATTTATTTTTAGAAAAATGGCCACAAAATTAAGTTTTCCACTGAAAAGTATTCCCAACACATGAGCCATCACAATCCAATTCTACCAATTTTTATGAAAGAAATATACACACTCACAAGTACACACACACACAATCTGCCCCACACTCAAGAGAATAAAACAGAAGAAACTTTTTCAAATCATTTTATGACATCAAAAACATCCTTAATGCCGATACCTGTCAAGGACATCACTAAAAATAAATGAATGTACATGGATAATCCTGCACAAAATACTCACAGGCTGGATCCAAACATATACATGATGAACAAGAAAGATAAGTTACAGAACAAAACTTTGTATTGCCGTGTGAAACTGCGAAGTATAAAGCCAAACTAATGGAAGGAAAGATATACAAAACACTTTGCTACTTCCAAAAAAAAAAAAAAAAAAAGAAGAAGAATAGAAACCTAACAAGTGATGGAACGTGAATGGATCCAGCTATTGATGCCATACCAACATAAATTCCTAGTTCTTTACTTTTTGCTAGTGTATAATTGAGAGATAGTTTACAATCTTGGAACTGTGACCTGATTAAAAATAATAATTATTTGAAGAAATATAAGAAGATTGATTCCTCAGCTTGCCTGTGGGCTTCTCAGCACGAATTCCAACTCTGAGATGACACAGCCACAGCTTACAAGATGTTCTCATAGGACCTATAAGAACATAAGCAAAAAAGACAGCTCTCAGTGAGATGCCTGTAATTCGCATCCACAGCAGCATCATTCGCACTGGACTAAGGTAAAAGCAGCACAAGTGTCCACACACGAATGGATGTGTACACAAAAGGTGTTGTGTGTGCAGGCAAAAGATCATCATTTGGCCTAAAAAAAAGGAGGAAATTCTGACATAAACTTGGCACAAATGAGCTGTGAGGACAAACTCCTAGGTGAAATAGGCCAGACAAAAAAACAAAGATGAATACTGAATTATTCTACTTATATGAGGCATGTGGAAATGACAGTTTGACAGAGGTGGAAAGTAGTAGAGTAGAGACCCTGAAAGAGGAAGGAAATGCGGAGGTGTTTAATTGGAAGAGTGTTTGTTTTGCAAGATACAAAGGCTTCTGGAGATGGAAGATTGTAATCATCGCAACATATATACATATATATGAATGGAAGATGGAAAAATAAAATTTTATGCTTTATGTGTATTTTATTACAATTTTATGAATCAGCTTTGCACAAGAGATTAAGGATAAGAGGATAGACTGGGAAAGTTGGAGGCTCATACACTGTTTGAAAGGTAGAAAGGGAAGTGGGGTGGATGGGAAATGAAAATTTTAAAAACAGAAAATTACCAGTGCCTTAAAAACCATAATGCAAAGCACAGCGAAAGCATCAAACAGGACAGTATTACCGCCAAAATGATCCAGCCCACGGAGGTGGGATGTCCTGCCAATTGGGAAAGAGGAGATGTATATTTTCAAATCCTTCACTCTCCCTCTCTCTTTCTCTCTCTCTCTCTCCCTCCCTCCCTCCCTCCTCTCTTACTCCACGACCTGCCCCATCTTTACCCCACTTTCAGCCTGGGCCCCGTCCTTTCTCACCCCAGTGGAGGACGATGTCCTGCCCTCCTAGACTGCTGTGCTGCACTCGACAAGACAGCCCAGCAGCCTCCCCTGCAGCCACATCCAGGGTCACTCGGAGATACCAGGTCTCATCAGCATTGGGCAGGACGTCCCCTCGCTGAGTGTCCTTCTGCTCCTGCTCACCCCGCATCCACGTCACCCACACGGGCTTCGGGTGGAAGCCAGAGACGTGGCACACCAGCTGCAGACGGCCGGGCCCAGGGCTGGGACCACTGGACAGCCAGGCCTCGGGCTTCACTGAGGCAGGAACAGGAAAGGAAAGTGTTATATTATGACTCGAACCCAAAGCCTGAACTCAGAAATCCACAAGTTTGGGTTTGACCCCTCTACTCTTTGAGAATGAGATAAGTTATTGAGAAAACCCCTTTGGTACATTTCTACTCTTGGAATTAAAGGCAATGATTCAAAGTAAACAGAACAAGACTAACCTTGCTTCTGCAGATCTGCCTTCCCCTCTTCAAGGATGCTCAAGAGATACTGAGGACAAACTTTTACAAGGAGCGTCTCCACAATCTGACGGATAGCTTTGTACTGAGAGATGAAAATGCAGAACATCTGTGCCCTGGTGCCACCTTCTGGGGCAGGCCAACATGAATAATTCTGGATGCTCAGGAAATCCAGCCCTCCTAAAGCTCCCTTCAAGAAGCTTGCAAAGGCACCTCCAGAATGCAACTCACAACCTGTGATTCCCTGGATCTCAAATGGATCTGTGTAGAAGGCAAACAGAGAGATGTTATTAAAGAAGAAATAAAGGACTGTGGGAGACAATTAAAATTTTTGGATTTGAGGCAGACAAGAGTCAGGGATGATGGAGTAAAATAGCACCCCATATAATACTCGGAGAGTTTCAGAAAGAAGAGCCTTGGCCAGAGGAACCCTTCATGGGGAGAGGGACGGATGTTGGTAAAGAATATGGCGGTAATGTGGGAAAAGAGAGGCACAGTGTGAAGAAAGTGCAAGGGCCCCACAAGCACAGCCATCCAGGGGGAACCAGATTTCACACAGAGAAGAGTCACAGGGAGGAGAATGCTGAAAGGGTGGATGAAAGGAGGAAGCTGCCCTTTAGGTTGCTAAGGCCCAGGGCAAAAAAAAAAAAAAAAAAAAAAAAGAGTAAGTTTTCCAAGACACAAACCTCTAGCAAAGTCACAAAGTGTACTCCTCTTCTATTAGAAAAGAGTGCAAAGGCAGTAAGAGTTGGGAATATGCTGTTCAGGGGTGGGGTCCAGGGAGGAGAATGCTGCAGTCAAGCGTGTGCAGGCAGTTAGGGGAAGTCAGGTCGAGGTGAGAAGGAGCACCCGGAACATTGCCCTGAGCCAAGAGGAAAGGCACTGAGAGTGTCCCCGGGTCTGACAACCAGGCTCACACTCCAGCTGGAATTCACTTGCAAGTTTGTGCACTTCTGCAATGAATCCAAAGATGTAGACTCGGAAGAGATCCTGTAGCCCAGATAGCTCTTCATCACTGAAGTTGCCCTTAGACCAGGGCTTCAGGAATATGATAGCTCCTGAATCACTGTCCCAAGTCTGAAGCTGCAAGTCACCCAGCCAGCCTGAGGCTCGATTCTGCACCCAGGTGCGGTTGGCAAAGGATACGATTTGGATGACGTGGAAAGTGGTTGGACCCTGGAAGCCTATGGAGAAAAGGACAAAATAGTAACCCTTGTTTATCATTCATTGCTAAATCTTGAAAGCAACCTGTCTGTCCACCAAGAGGTGCATGGATGAAGAAAATGTAGTATTTACACACAATGAACTACAATTCTGCCATAAAAAAGGATAAACTTGAGTCCCTTGTAGGCAAATGAGTGCGCCTTGAGATCATGCTGTTGAAGTGAAATAAATCAGACATATGAGCTTAAATATTGCATGGTTTCTCTTATATAAGAAAGCCAAACTATAAATAAAAGACAAATAATAGGGAGTAGGGAGCTAGATCTTTCTCAAATGGAAAGGGAATCAAACGTTGGAAGGAAGTCAGAGGGAGGAGAGGGAAAGGGAATAAAAAGAGAAATTGGCATGTGTTGTATACATGAACCAACTCCACAAAGAATGCAAACATTATGCACAGCAGGAGGGGTAGGGAAAAGGAAAGAAGGAATGGATTAATAAGAGAAAATGAAAAATAATGGAAACAAAGTCTTTGTATTAAAGGGAGGGAGGGGTTGAAGGGAGGGCAGGGGGATGGGGAAAAAATAAGCACCAAGACGGATTATGCAAAGGCACAAATTTCCAACGATGAATGTCATTATATTGTATACATTAAATGTACCAATAACATTAATTTTTAAAAACATTATGTACTGCAAATAAGTACTAATAGACATAAAATTTACAATAAAAATAGATAAGCAAAAAAGAGAGGCACATGAAAGCATGAATATTGGAAAGGTACAGAAACAAAACCCCAGAATCTTCAGAAACAGCACACTTGACCCATCTGAGAGCACTAGGGCATCAGGCTGCAGTCCCAACCTGCAGAAGGGTGCGAGAGAGCTGGAGACAGGAGGGCTCAGAGCCTTAGTCCCCAAGTGTGCCTGCCTAAGCACAGCTGCCTTTATCCTGACCCACGGCACCAGGGCCAGCAGCTTCCAGAGCTCCTCTTACCATCCTGAGTGTCACCAACTGGCAAGAGAACCGCAAGGGATGCCAGTGGCAGGAGCAGCATTTCACTGAGAGAGGACTGTGTCTCAGCTTGTGTTTGATCTCTGATTTCAGCAACTGTTTTCGCTCTGCAGTCTGTAGTGACTTCCCCTCTCTTCCAACTGACAATCTCTTCCTCATACAAATTTTGCATCAGTGAAAAAATTTGCCGCCCACCACCCAGATACTCCTACTCCATCTTTCGTTTCTCCTGTGGCCCTGATTTCCATACCGATTCTGACTTCCCTGGCTTCCAGTTCCTCTCCTTGTGCTCAGGTTTCTTCAGACGAGTTCACAAAGGTCCCTGTGTAATTTCCAGATCTGGAAGGTGAACAAGTGATATCAAAGCTTTGCTCAGCCTCCAACTTTCTTTGCCCTGGAAAGACACTTGTCATTTGTTTACTCAACTGGTCATCTCTCTCTCTCTCTCGATTCTCTCCCTCTATCGCAGTACCCATTCCCTTCTCCTGTTCTTGTGTCTTTTTCCTCTTTCATCCTTTGTGTCTGGTCTCTCTAAATCCACAGATCTAGTTTTTCATATGTTGACTTCTACTTTAACAAACTCTTCAGAATTTCCCATTATGACTGTAAAAATCAGCCAAATTACAGACCCAGGATGACAAGCAGTAGACATTATATAGACTAAAGGAGCAGAAAACAGGAAATATGAGAAAAAAAACTATTTGCTTTTCCTAATTCACAAAACAATAATTCAATCACTTATATTAAAAGACTGTTTTTAAAAATTTAAATGTAATTAAAACCTACAATTCAAACACAGTAGAGTGAGGGGTACTGCAACACATAGAACCATTAAACCACTACTAAACAAAAAACTGAGAATGGGAGATATTCTCTACTGATATTCTCTTCGGAATTTTGTGTTGTCTTTTTTGAGTTTGTTTGTTTCTTTTTGTGTGGTACTAGAGATTGAACCCAGAGCCTTCACAGTGAGCTACATCCCCAGCCCTTGCTATCATCTTTTTTTTTTTTGAGAGGTTCCCACTGTCCTGCCTCAACCTCCCAAAGTACTGAGATGATAGGCATGCATCCCTATGCCCCATGCAATGCTAGCCACTTTGGGGGTTGGATAAATTAATTTTTCTAAATTCATTTTTTTTCCTCAGCCAGCACATGCAAAGGAGAACCTGCATCATATTTCAGAAAGAAGGGAAAGCAGGAAGAGAACATGCAAGAGAAAGATAACAGTGACAATATGTGCACCACGAAACTAAACGCAGCCAGAAACCTTTGTTTTTCTGTGAGCCAAATTCTGCCTTGTTTAGGTGCTAGTTGCTGCTGGCTGCATCTGCTTTTGAGAAATATCTTTTTCAGATCATTTGTTCTTTTTTATTATATTAGCATTTTGTTGAATTTTTGCATTTATTCTATAATCCTTTGACAGATGAATAGTTGTCAAAAGATTGTTCCCATTATGTAGCTTAGCTTTTCACCCTGCTGGTGAACATTTTCTGTGCAAAAATTTCTTAGTATGGTAGAACCCCATTTGTCTAGTTTAGATTTTGTGGTCTATGCTTTCGGGGCCATGTTCGAAGAAACATGGCCAATACTGATGTTTTCCCCCTCTACTTCTTTCATACTTGAGGTCTTAATTTCCATACATATTTCTTCCATTTCGTTGATTTTCTTTTTCTGTTTCTTTGTCTTGTTTTGTTTTGCTAGGAGGTTTTTTGTTTGTTTGTTTGTTTTTTGTTTTTGAGACAGGGCCTCACTATGTAGTTGAGATTAACCTGGAACTCACTATGTAGCCTAGGCTGATCTCGAACTTACAACAATCCTCCTGCCTCGGCCTCCCAAACGCTGGGATTACAGATGTGCACCATCAAGCCTGACATCAATTTGATTTTTACATAGGGCGAGAGGTAAGTGTCTAGCTTCAATTGCTTGCATGCAGATACTCAATTTTTCCATAATTATTTATTGAAAATTCTATTATTTCTTGAATGTATGTGTTGGGTGCCTTTGCTGAGAATCAGCAACTAATCTCCTCTGGACAAGCTCTCATGCAACCTTCCAAGGATGTGTGTATAAACATTTTTTACTGTCTTTTGGTCCATATTTTATTCACATAAAAGCCTTGCTGCTCTTGTAGTTCATGTTTAACATTCAAAGGCAAAACTAAATGATTGAGAACTGTTTTAGAGAGAAATACAATTTATTTGAAAAATAAAGATATTCTTACAGGAATTTTCCTCAGTGATCAACAGATTCTCTTCTCATGTCAAGTCCTTCCTTTCCAGAGAAAATTATTCCACAAGGGATAAGAAAAGGTCAGAACTGTAAATGACAGACGGAAACCTCAATGTCTCTTCAGAATTTTTGTTTTATTTCCATTTATTGTTATAGTGAAGAATGATATTAAATTTCTCACAATGGTTTGTTAATTCTTCATTGGTAGAGTCTGGGTCTCACTCCACTATTTCTGCAAGTCTGAGAAAATGAAAGGATTGCCGCAAGTTACTGTAGGTTCCGGGGACTTGAAGGCTAACTCCCCTCCATTCAGCCCACACTATCACTATGAGTCTACTCTGAGACCAACAAAATGAAGCCAAAAGAAAAATATAGTGATCAACCATTCCAAACGTATCTGCAACTAATTTGACCACGCGGAGAGAAAATGCAAAATTAGTAAAGAAGTAGCCTGTATTTCTGGGAATAAATATTCCACACTATTAACTGGAGTATTTACGGTTCGTGCAAGATGATTGTTGGAGAACAGTTCTCCAAATAGCAAAGCACACATCCCTTAGGAACAGTCCCAGACTCCATTACATCACAGACGTTGTCTGTTTTCTGGATGACAGGTAGAGACAACAGCGACTGTCCTCCCCATGAACATTACATGTTTTCATCACGCACCTTTTACTTTAGACAGAACACCAACGTTCCGTATATTCTGTGTGTTGTAGGCTCACTTTCAAGAAGGAATCTGAAGAACGTAGTGATGACCGCTGAGAAATGTGCGAGCTGACCGAGCAGACTCAGGTGGCTGCACGACGCGCGCTGTCACAGAAAAGCGGCAATGACGTGGCAGCGATGACAGGGAGGTGGCACAGCCTCCCAGAGGACGGCGGATGTATCCGCGAGATGCCTGGGGCGTCTATGCACACCCACAGAGAATACGTCAAGGGTTGCTTTTTATTTATTTTGGGGGAGTACCAGGGGTCAAACTTGGGTCCTTGGGTTCTTGCGCTTGCAAGGCGGGTGGCGGAAACACTGAGCTAAATCCCTGGCTTCAGGGGTTGCTTTGATAGTCAGCCTTCTGTCACTGTGACAAAACACCCAAGACAGTCAACTCACATCGTGAAATATGTAATTATTACTCAAAATTCACCAATTCTTACCTGAACTGCTTCTTTTACAACTCATTAAGCCAGAATACAAATAAACCCTATATATTGAAATTAGTTGCTGTTTTTCAAGAGTCTGCTCAGCCCATGGGGTTATGATCTCATTTTTATTCTAAACTTTATTGTTGAAGAAATCACTTCATTTTTGTAAACTTACCTGCAGCCTAAATTTTGCTAATCTCATAGACAGATTATCACTTAACATGACTTTTTTTTTATTTACTGTATATTAAATTGCTTTTGTAATCTGATGTCACACAGATTTGACTGTATTGTGCATGTCCCCTAAGCCATGTAATATTCATGTTCTTCCTTCATTACACTTTTACATATTTCACCCCTGAAAAAAATTATTAAAAATGCTATAACAGGCTGGTGGTGCACACCTGTAATCCCAGCACTTCAGAAGCTGAGGCAGGAGGGTTGCCTTGAGTTTGAGGCCAGCCTAGGCTACAAAATGAGTTTAAGGCCAGCCTGCACCACAAGTGAGACCTCATCTCAAGAAAAAAAAAAGAAAGAAAGAAAAGAAATAAGAAATATACTTAACACCACAGAAATTACTAATAAAGTGTTAAAAAAAGATAATATATTTTGCAACAATACTAATAAGAACACCAAAACTGTTTAGATTAGATAGGTAGTTTTGAACATTTAAAAAATGCATAGATAACCAGATGCTTATGGCCTAGACACAAAACTTAATAAATAATTAAAATAATTGGAACTTCTATAAAATAATGCATTGGTTGCGTAAGAAAACAAATAAGTTTTATGTTTTGAACATTCTCCAAGTACTCAATGAGAAAGATGATTTTCTGCCTCCTTTTATTTTTTGCATTTCTGCAATTTTCTTCAGTGTTTTCCTGGTAGCAGACATCCCTGCTCAGTACTGGCGGGCTATGAGTGGCACCTACTTCTTGCTTTCCATAATTCAGCTATATTGTTTTACACCTGGAATTAGACGGAAGTTCTATGTGACTCAAATGGGCATGTCATGGCAGACTAGGTGAGTGTAGCCCCTCACCCAGTGGTTGTCATGGGGACCCAGGTCCTGGTCTGTGGAGTGGCCGGGCTCTGCCGAGGTACGCACAGCTGAGATCAGCATAACCCCAATTAAAATCCTTTTCCCTGAACCATGGGTTCACTGACTTGATGGGTTGCTTGCTAAATGCAGCTGGTCACAGTGCTGGTTTGTTCTATTCCAGCAAGATAAACAGTGCTTACTCCCAAACAGCCCTACCTGGTGCCATCATGGCAGGTGTCCAACAGTATTTCACTAGATGCCTTCAAAGCAACCCAGCTTCCTATTCCTTCCCACAATTGTATTCTATAAAAACTGGATGCTCTCAGGGGTCTTTGTCTTTGCTGCCATCAGCAGCGCTGATCAGAACCCACAACCCAACTGTAGGTGGGGTGAGATGAGTTGGAAATCATCATCTGAGCCCTAACGAGTTTTGATTTCTAGACCTTCTAGTAGGGAACAGCTAAAAGCAAAACAAGGGGCCTGTTTTTTACTTTTCTTATTTAAGGACAAATATAACTATGAGCTCATAATTTCAGTTCAAGTTCAGACCCATGGGATTTTATTCCTATATCTCACATCTACTTCTCTTTTCTCCCACAAAAAATTCTGGTCCCCAGTGAGTCCAAGGAG